TCTTTCTTTTGATTAGATCAATACTTTGTGTTTCAGAGTGAAGAGGAGCTAAGAAGCTCCCCCGCTGCTTTTAGAGAGTGAGGAGGATTAAGAGGCTGGAGCTCGGCGGAGGCACGACGCCACTCTCTCACACAGGCAACCGGAGCTGGAGCCATGAGCAGGGCGCTGGCGGAGCACATCAGCACTAGCTTCCGAGAAGATGCTCCCCGTCCTCCGGTACCGGGGGAGGAGGGAGAGGCGTCATGCTACAACCCCAGCAGATCTGCCAAAATGAGAGCCCAGAGCAAGGTGAAAGAGAACCCAGCCACAGCTGCGCCTGCTGGCTCTGCGCTGCGTAGGAACGAGGATGGACTCGGGGAGCCGGAGGGCAGCGCGTCCCCTGACTCGCCCCTAGTCCGGTGGACCAAGTCCTTACATTTTCTCCTGGGGGACCAGGACGGTGCCCACCTCTTTAGGACCTTTTTGGAGAAGGAGAACTGCGTGGACACTTTGGACTTTTGGTTCGCCTGCAATGGCTTCCGGCAGATGGACTTAAAGGATACCAAAACGCTGCGAGTTGCCAAAGTTATTTTCAAGCGGTACATTGAAAACAACAGTATTGTTGCCAAGCAGCTGAAACCTGCCACCAAGACCTTCATAAGGGATAGTATTAAGAAACAGCAGATAGATTCTGCCATGTTTGACCAGGCACAGATGGAGATTCAGTCCAACATGGAAGAGAACGCGTACCAGATGTTTTTGACCTCTGACATATACCTCGAATACGTGCGCGCTGGCTGCGAGAACGCAGCCTACATGAACCACGGGGCTCTGGGCAGCCTGAAGCTGATGTACGGATATCTGCCTCCACTCATGGAGGAAGAGGAGTGGAGTTGTAATGACCTGAAGGCAAAAACATTAGGCACTGTGGTTGGACTTTCTGCCAAAAACCTGAGGGCTACTGCTACCCTCCGGACAGCATCTGAGGTCCTGGAGAAGAGTTGCAGGTAAGATTTTACACTTTTTTTTTTTCTTCTCCTCAGCTTTTTTTTTTCTCATAATAACCATTCTTGCTTTAGTGGTTGCAAGGCTGTTTTGTTGTTGTTATTTCACAAATGCCTAAGAAAAGAGATAAAGGAACTGGATCAAAGGGTCTCAGAGGACCATGCCTCTATATTTGTGCCCTCCTGCCTTGCATTTAGCCAAGGGGCTGGATGGGGTGGGGTGTGCAAAACATCAATGGATCTGAGTCTTCCTTTTAAGTAAATGGTGTCTTGCAGGCAGCCCTCTGCTGGCTTTGCTCAAGTTTCCTCTGCTTTGAAATGACTCCTCTGGTTCAGGCACAAATTCAGACGCCAAAGTATCACAAATGTTACAAATGCTACATGAAACGGTTTGATGCTATTGTAAAGCAACATTGGAATTTATTTATTTGGCCATATCTTAATTCCACAGAGACATGGCAACAGAGAGGAGAGAACTTGTGCAGGCTTATGCCAAGCGTAGATATTGTTCTTTTGGTCGGAGATGAAAGTGTTTGTGGAAATCATTTGGGCTTTGAGCTCGTCCCACACATTGTCCAACAGCTGAAATCTGTTTGAGCCAGGAACATTTTTTAGGCTGGATTTCATGCTTGAGCCCGCATCAAAGGGCACTTGAAACTTTTTCATTAAAACCAGTTTGCCCCCACATCTGGACACAGCAATTACTGGGTGAATTACACCATCTAAATATTCAGTTTAGGAGACGATGATCCATACTTTTATAATTAAGAATGTGTAATGTGACTGGATTGTAAATTATCCGCGTGCATTCAAGTCTGACAACTTCAAGCTCCAGCATTCCTCTGAGTTTCATCCGTTTGGTGAGCAGCTGTCAGATGATTTGGCAAAGTGGTCATTTGATTCAAAGAGTTTGTGTGGAGTTGGGAACTGATGAGCACAGGGTTTCTTGTCATATGTGCCAGTCCTGGCTTCCTGGTGTGACTCCTGCATTCTTGTTTTCAACAGAAAGTGAAGCAGGAGGAGAGAGAGAGAGAGGGAAGGAGACCAGGGAGCCCCCTTTTTCTTCCTTCCGTCACCCACACTCTCCCTCTGTCTCCCCCTGCCCCTCGCCATCTCTTTAGGTCAGGCAATTTCCATCTCAAACATGTGGAACTAATTTTGCCACTCCACAGATTCTCCCTTTTCCCCCCTCTTTTTCTGGGGGGGTGGGGTGGGGGGGGGGCTTTAAAGTACTCGACCAACTGATAGAAAAACACAACAACAAAACATCCTCAGTTCAGTGCTGCTGCGTCAACCCGCCAAAACCACTCTGCCAAAAAGTGTGTTTCTGTTTAATTCTTCCTCTTTCTGTTGCATCCAAGTCTTTTATCTCTCCTTTATGAATTCTGTCAGACAGAAACGGAGTCGGCTTCAGAGGGAGACAGTAAAAGACAAGAGGAAGGAGGGAGAAGTCAGGGGAAGGAAAGAAAAGAAAAAGGGAATGAGAAGGAGAGCAAGGGGTGCAGAGAGCCCAGCTGTGCTAAATACCTGACTCTTTGCGCGGACCTTCCAAAGGTCAGGTTTGTGCTTGGGGCCTACGGCTTTAGTCATGCTGGGGTTCTCCTCTCAGCACTCCCGGCAGAAGGCATTCTCATAAAGAAAGGGGCCCTCCTTCCCCCTTTCCATCCCTCTACCTCCCTTCCTCTCTCTAAAGCTCAAGTTCCCCCTCCCTCTACTTCCCTCCCTCTTCCTTGTCCACCCCCTTCACTACTGGAACAGGAATGCATCACAGCAGGACAGAGGAGAAAGGGAGAAAGAGAGACTTTAGAAAAAAAGGAAAGAAAAGCAGGGGAGAGTGGGTAGAGGAGGGGCCCCGGTCTTATGACAGAGACAAGGAAGGAGTTTGAAGTTAAGGAGTGTGAAGAGTGATAAGAAAGGAAGGATAGAAATGGAATGCTCTTGTGAATTTACACAGCAATAGCCCTCAGAAGTCTGTGGAAAGTGACTTTAAAAATGCATAAAATCTAAAAAAAAAAAAGTCACCAAAACAATCTTCCTTGTTGCTGTCTTGCCTGAAAAGTGTGGAAAGAAATGAATTAAATCAACTCCAGTTTCACATACAATATCTCCTCAGTCTACACTGACATTGCACTAAACCATGATTTCTCCCTCTGCTCTTTTGCAGGTCCCATCGTCGAGGAGACCCCGCCAGCCCTTACTTTGTCAACTCTGGCTACATATTTGCCCCAGCCACTAGTGCCAATGACAGCGAGATCTCCAGCGATGCCACGACCGATGATTCCATGTCCATGACAGACAGTAGTGTGTAAGTGTCTTGGGTGTTTGAAGGTCATGTCAGCCTGGACAAAACTCTTCTAGTTTAATTTTTAATTAATACCAGCTTGTGTTTCTGAACTCGGTCCTTCACTTATAGCCTGGTGGATGTTATGTTTCAGAAATAATGTTGTGTATTTTAATTATGCCCTTAACACTGACGTCAGGTATTTCTGTTGTTAAGTTGTTAAGTCCTTCAGGGAGATAACTCTGGGAAAGTCATTAATGTCCGAGGACCTTTTGAAGTACACTCTGATGTGTTACAAGCTTGAGAGAAAGAGAGAGGAATCAGAAAGTCTTGATGTGGGTGGGGGCGTTGCCTCATTTTCCTTTAAGTTGAAATGTATCCATCCCACCCTTCTGCCACAACAGACTTGTTTTTGGGTTTTTTTGGGTTTTTTTTTTTTTCATATTATCTAATCGCTTTCTCCCTTTGAAGAGCTGAGGGGGGTGGAGGGGTGGATAGGAAAATGGCCATTCGGCCCTCAAGACAAACTCATTGAAAAATGTTGGCACCAAATGAAAGGAGGCTTACTCACATGGTGGGTCGGTTTCCTGCCACTGGCCTCTGCGGCGTGCTGAGATCATGTGTCTGCGAGGCTTTCACAGGGGTTACTCATTTCTAGACCTTGGGACAAGGCATAAGGAACTCCCCCTGGTCAGACAGGGGCAACCCGTTAAAAAAAGTCACCAGCTCCATCTACAGCTCCACAACTCCAGTCTCCAGAGCCAGTAGCTAGAATGGTTAGTGCTGTAGCGCTTGGGAGTGAGAAAATAAAGTGCATGAAGTATAAAGGGCTTAACTGAATCGCTTTCAGCCTATTGTTAGGTGAGGGGAGCTTAGGGGGGATAAGAGGGGTGGCTGGCAGCTCTGAAAATGACTTGAACAAGTGAATGGGAGATTCCCATAAAGTAAAGGCCCATGAAACCATCAAAGATTCCATGGTTGATTTCTCTTCTCCAACCTGGACAAAACATTCAGTCAGAACAGTTCAGCCTGATAATGTACAGATACTGAGTGGAGAGTTCTTAGGATTCCTGGTAGTCAAAGGACATCCTGGTTCTTTCTTCCTGCCCTTCAGGAGGTGCTAGTGTATAAAACATTGATCGGAGTAGTATTTCTAACTTCTAACTCTTCATTACTCTGTAAATGTGACTTGCAGAACTTGTTCAGAAGAACAAGGAAGATGCTGATTTTGGACCAGTGTCATATTTCAAAGTCATTTTCTGCAAGAGTTTATGTTTGTGACACAGTGATCCGTCCCCATCTTCAGCTCTAATCTGTTGTTTTCCTCCCCAAACTGATGCTCAGAAAAAAGAAAACACTTCCTCTTCCTCTTTTATTTGTGGGAACAGTTTGATTAGTGTGTCTTTGTAGTTGTGAACAGACGCACACTGCAAATTTAAATCTTATTAGCCACATAAAGAATAAAGAAGAAAAAAATTTGGGAGAAAGCAGGGGTGGATTTCTCACTCTCTCCCCCCATTTCTCTCGCTCTCTCTCGCTTTCTCTTTGCTTATATCTTATTTATGGATTTACTTGGACGCTGGGGAATGCTGCTGCACCAACTTCAAACATTACCTTATCTTACAAACCAGCCTTTTGATGTAGCTGAGATCAGAAGCTCACAGCGGCGCGCTTGCCAAGCGAAGATGGCAGTGGGTGCATATGTGCATGAGTGTGAGATTTCAAAGAGGCAGCAGGGGGAAAAAAAGTAGCATTTGGGCTAGGTCAGACACTTCTGAGCAGCCAAAACGGCCAAGATAATTGGCCCAACCTAAGTGGCAGCTGCCTGCAGAAGCTAGCAGACACAGGAGGGGAAATTGGAATTAACAGAATAAATACCTAAATGTTCAGAGACTTCTAGTAATCCTTGGTACGTTTGTATTTTCATATTACATGTTAACCACACAAATCCAAAGCCACTACTTGGCAACGCTTCTCAAACCAAATTGCAACCAAAGTTGACACCAAGTCTACTGCATTCTGGCACCTCCTGTCAAAGTTGACAAGGACTGACGTAACCTTATCAGTTGGTTGCAACCTTTGAAGCCAATAGGGATGTTTAGCATATCTGGCCTATTGTTGTGTGGGTTTTTGTTCCCTTCACTTCAGTGACTCCCAGGCCTTTTGATTTAGCTGTAATGTGCCCAGTGGGTGTTTACTGGGCGGAGCTTTTGTTGGTCACCCCAGTGATCAACTCTCCTGGCCTATGTAAAAAGATGTGCTAATGGTGCTAACAATAGTGGTTGTACACTATGAGAGACCCAGCTGATGAGCATATCTATTTTTTTTTCTAAATCAGATGAATAAACGTCTAATACTTCTGCCTCTTCCACAGTGATGGAATCCCTCCATACAAGCTGGGTACAAAGAAGCAGCTCCAGAGGGAGATGCACCGCAGCGTCAAGATCAATGGCCAGGTCACACTACCACACTTTCCGGTAAGATATGCTTCTGCTTCTTCTAAATTCAGTCTTTGTCACATTGTCAGACGACTGGGCCCAAATTATCTCCTGGAAATCTTGTTTGCCATAAATTAATTAAACAGTTATTTCACAGCATAAATACAGACTCCTGCCTCAAACACAGGGTTTCAAAGTAGAGTTTTCTGGCAAAGTAGAGAATTCTGGTTCTTATCCGCCATTTTCCACATTTTCACTCCTGATGTCAGCTGGTATTGACTTTGGTATTTAATGAAAAATTAATGGATAAACTCTGAATGTGATGGACATAAACATTCAGGTCCTGATTACTTTACTCCTCTGTCATATCTACTCCCATTAGCCTTAGCGGTGAGAGCTCACCGAAGTTACTACGGACAGCTTTAGGGGACCAGGTTTTACCAGACAGGTTAACACAGGTTAAGAGTCTGATCTGCCAAAGACGGATCATGTTATTCTTCATATTTAAACACAGGTGTGTGTGTGTGTGTGTATGTATGAGTGTGTGTGCAAAGAAGCAAGCTTTTCTCATTCTCCTCCACCTTTCTTTTTTTTCCCACTTGCACTCCTTTAATGTCTCCCCCCTGATTTGGAGATGGCTTCGTCTCCCATGATGCACCAGCCCCAGGCAGTAGGGGCCCCGTGCAGGGCTGGCGCTCTTTTGCCAGCAGCTCTTCTTGCCTTTCTTCTTTTAGCCTTCATCGTATCTATGAAGAGATGAGAGGCACCAAAAAGATTTTAAATCAAGAAGCTGGTATTCAACATAGAAATTTGAGAAAATGGAGAGGAAGAAAGCTAAAAAGAAGAAATGAATAGTTAAAAGAGGGAGGAGTATAATGTGACTGGAGTGTCTCTGAGCTCCCCTGTATGCAGCCAGGAAATAAATGACAACTTCCCCTCAGATCTTCCTGGTATTTGACTCCTCGATTTCTCCCTCCTTATTCTGCCACCACTGCTGATGATTCACAAACACACATCTCAATCCTCTTCCTTTCATTGTTTTTCATGCCATTAATTTTGTCCCCCTCTTTTTACTCTTTTCTGCACTCTCTTCTCCGTCGATATCTGCCTTTTATTCAGAGATTTAAAGCTGCGTGTCCCTCCCACTCCTAGTGTGCGTTTGATGTTTGACAAGGGCCCTTTGAAGTGCGCTAACTTCAGAAGCTGCCTAGCTGATGGCTCAGTTGGGCTGCAGAGGGTGCAGGCAGGGGGCCTCCGCTCCAAGCAAACCAACTGCTACCCCGTCATGACTACCCCCCTTCTCTGCCAGTTGCAGGGTAGCATAGCACTGCCAAGGGCACCTGGCACGAGAGGAAATGGGGTAACTGCATGTAGGCAGCAGAGAAGGTTCAGGTTAGCTCATGGGCAAGGGCATCGGGATTAGGCTTTTGGAACAGTAACATAGGTTTTTGGAATATGGAAGGATTAGGGTGAGGCCAGTGGATTAATTTACCATATTGCATCTGTCAGAAACACTAAGCAGCTTCATTGTCTCTCACACTGACACTAGAGTCTACTCTCCTTTGTCTATCCAACAGAGGACGTACCGGCTGCCTAAAGAGATGACCCCTGTGGAGCCCTCTGCCTTTGCTGCTCAGCTCATTGCTCGGTTGGAGAAGCTGAAGCGGGAACAGGACACCATGAGCTCGTTGGAGGAGAGGCTGCAGCAGATCCAGGAGGTACGGATGCACAGGAACAGAACAGCACGTCTATGCAGCCATGTTCCACATCCTACAAGTTGGAATTATATACAGTTTATAATACCAACTTGTATTCAAAGTTGGCTCCTCATTGCCCCAAGGAATACTGCATTATAGCGTCAAATTGTCAAAGAACAGAAATAAGACCAGGGGATTTGGAAATCTGTCTTCATTCAACAACGTTTGCACTATTTTGTCTCTGCATTTTTTACATATACAGACATATAGAGGCACTTAGATTTTCTAGAGTCTTAGAGTTTAACAGTTAACTCTGAGCCCCCCTCCTGAGGCATGTTAGCTGCTTGTGTTCAGTGGTGGCCCTTTGTAATGCACAGTCATGCTCTGCATTATAAATGAACTGTCCTCAAAGGTCTGTTAGTGAAGCAACTCAAAGTCACATCAACCCAAGTGTTACATCCTTTAGAGTAACTAAATGAAACATTTCTGCAGGTTATGCTAATGTTTTTTGTTTGCATGTTTAGGAAGAGGAGAGAGAAGAGAGTAGTGACCACGCCAACAACACCTCCCTCCATCATCCTCTGCTTCCATCTGGCAGCCAATGTGAGGAAGACCCCCAGGCCATCCTAGACGAGCATCTATCCCGTGTCCTTAAAACACCTGGCTGCCAGTCACCAGGTGTGGTTCGGCACTCTCCACGTTCACACTCCCCAGATCGGACTGGTGCTGTGGTGTCTGTGGGTCATGGGCCCTTCTTCGGTGCATATCCAGAAGCCAAGGTCTTGATGACAAGCAAGCAGTCCACGAAGCACATCCACCATCATTACATCCACCACCACCACGCTGGGCCCAAGACCAAGGAGCAGATCGAGGCTGAAGCGGCTCAGCGTGTGCAGTGCCTCTGCCCTCCCAGGGGCGCCAATTATTCTGACTTCACCCCTGTGTAAGTTTCACTCCTCAGCTGCGATTTCTACCATGCAAAGGCTGCTTTTTTTATTTCTGGTTGCTGATGGGTTCCTCCTCCTCCTTCTACAGCCGCTGCAGCACTTTGTCCAAACGTCCAGTCAAGGCCCCAGAGGAGGGTTCGTCCTCACCAGGCCTTCTCCTGGATGCCACCGATCGCTCTCAGAATGTTTGGCAGTGGATTCTAGAGAGTGAGAGACGGGGAAAGCACAAGCCACACAGGTGAGCATCCTCCAGAACTCACCACACTAGCTGTTTTCACTGAAGTTGATGTTCAACATTCATGAGCTTGTTTTTAACTTAACAGCACTCAAGGCCTAAGGAAGGCCAGTCCACTCGACTCTAAAATCCAGCCCAGTCGGGCCCACTACTCATGGGGCGGAGGAGGCATCGGCAATGGGAGTCATCTTCGAGGGCATCATCCTGGTCACCCCTTCATCCAGGACCCAGCTATGCCACCACTGCCTCCACCAGACACACTGACACAGCTAGAAGAAGCCTGTCGTATATTAGAGGAAGTCTCCAAGCCACCAAAACAGAGGTAGGAAAACATGTGCATTTAAAGACACCAAGGTGGATCATGACTACAGTGTAATAAAAAGGACTTTTGTATTGGTTGTATTTTCTGCTCCATATCCATCCTAAAAAAACAGACACTGAGTATACAATTCACAGTTCACCTTTCTGTGTATCTTTTACTCATCATCATAATGTTGCACCAGTAGATTTAAAAGATGATTTCCATATATAGTATTTAAAAGAAAAAGAAAAGCCTGACTTTTTATTTTGAAAACAGTGTAATTGTGTCAGGAATAGCATCTGTTGGATGGAGTCTTATTCTCTAGTTCCTTTTCTAAAGTGATGTGAGACCTGATCATTGATCTTTGATTTTGACAGGCATTCAGCAGCAGCCGTCTGCCTTCAGCGAGACAGGAACCATTCAGCAGCTGCCTTCCCGACAGGAGACAGCCCTCTGGCCACCTCTGGACTCCAAGCAGACGAGTACGGCTTCTGTCTTTTATTTTTTGTTCAAGTCTTCACTACAGCCTGCTTGTCTCTCTCACTTAAATATGCTCCTATTTAGTTTTCAGAATTCACTCTTCAGACACCTTTTGCAAACTTTTCTCATTTCTCTCTTCAAGCCCTGTGTGTTTTCAAACTCCCTCACACATTTTCATGCTCCTTCCTTAAAAGAGAGATGCTGTTAGTCAGTGCAGCCACAGCTGTGTCTTTGAACTTCTCTGACTTCTTTTTTAATCATTTAAGATGAAAAATTCTTTTAATGTAGAATCCATCACTACCCACCCACCCATCCCCCTCCAAACACACAGACTCATCACTGAAACTCACAAAGCCAGTGCAAAGTCGCTGCTGCCGCCACTGCAGGCAGCTGAAAATTACTAGTTAGGTTATCGCACTTCCCTCACAGTTGTGGAAGCGTTTGATGTTAAACTACAGCCACCTGACATTCAGGCCACTTAGTTTTAATGAGACAACCTTTGGTGTAGCAGTTGTTTGTTTGCATTTGTAATCCACAAGATGTTTTGTTGAGGTCAGCATTTTTATTTCCATGTTTACATGTGAAACCATTTAAATGAATGTTTCTTTTAATTTCCTGCCCTTTAGGTCTAAGGAATTAGTCGTCACCTACTTCTTCTGTGGTGAGGAGATCCCTTATCGCAGCATGATGAAGACCCACTGCCTCACCCTGGGTCACTTCAAGGAGCAGCTGAGCAAGAAAGGCAACTACCGGTAAATATGCAGCACTCACTTTAACACCAATAGTGACAAAGATCCAGCACTAACACACAATCCAGCACTAACACACACAAACACACACACACACACACACACACACACACACACACACACACACACACACACACACACACACACACACACACACACACACACACACACACACACACACACACATATGAGTAGGGGGTGCAGTATGAGAGGATTGGTGCAGAGCATGTGCATTAATTATGTACTTCACTACATGCTACTTTAAAACCAATCAAAATACATCAAGCATACTATATCGTGATATATTTTCTAAAATCTATCTAGAACTATTAATCACTTATGTTAGGAATGACCAGTATTATTAAAAAACCTTAACTTCATTTATTTATGCTTATTTATTGAGCAAGAATGGGAAAAAGTGGATCTCAATATTTGATGAGAAACTGCAGAGCCACAGAATTCAAAGCTTACAGAGGGGGGTTGTGTTTTTTGGGGGGTTTTTTTCTATTCTTTTTCCCCACATCTGGTACTGATTTTCATGGTAAGGCAGCCTCAATAAATATGGCTTTGAAGCCCAGGCCATTTTATTTTGTGCACAAAGACCATTGCTAGGCCTCCTCTGCACTGTTGCATCAGACGATAAAGTCAAATGCCACAAACAACTTGTTTCCCCCTCAGTTAATGACAGTTAGCTGCCGCCAAAATATCTGCCAGGTGATGAGGGCAAAAACTCCATAACGAGGTCAAGATTAACGTCAAGCTAACTTTAATGAAAGTCCAGTCTTGATGCACTGTATCACTGTTGTGTTGTATCGCGTAGGTTATATGCCACAGGAAAGACAGAAAACCCTGCATGACATCAGCAGTAGGCTACAGCTACATGTGCTTGTTTAGCAAGGAGAGAGAGAGAGAGAGAGAGAGGAATGGTAAGGAGAGGAGAGGAGAGAAGAAGAGAGGAGAAAAGAGCCCTGCAAACAAGTCTCTGCACCCCTGATATCTCATAACTCTTTAGTGGGTATGAGGTGTCTGGCTTCAATGGCAGCACAAAGTGTGGAGTTGGTTAATTTGGACATGGCAGCAGTACAGCAGAGAACAGTATGCTGTGGCTCTGCCAGATGATATTGGTGCCAGATGTTGCAAAGAGAGAAAAATCCTACCACATAAAACATGTTCCAGTGGAAAGACTCCCTCAGTCGCACTCTGAAACTGAGCAATGACTTTGAACTATGAGTGTAAAGGTGGAAAATGTATGATCCTGACAAAACCTAACCAGTTAAGTCAGTAAAGGTGGCAAATTTAATTTGGATTTGAGCTAATGAAAATGAGAAGACTAAAACCTGCTCAGTAAATTGCAGTCAACAGGAAATGTTTGGTAAAATAACTGGGAGATCACACTGTTGCATCTTTGCACATTCTAAGAAAAAAAGTCCTCTGCAGCTGTGGTAAAGCCACCTCCTCCTTCCCTTCCTCCTCCTTCTTCTACTATTCCTCCATTTGTGTGTAATTACAATCAACATGGAAAATAAAACAGTATGTGCACATTTTTTGTTTGCCCCTCCCTACATGTGTTGTTTGAACAACTCTTTAGGCTGAGCGATAAAATGCAACTTTCCCCCGTTTTACTTCTTTTTTTGCATTGCACACATGGCCAAAATGAGGCATTTTCCATTACAAAGCTATCATTAAATCCCCTCCTGCTGATCTTTTGCTTAGTTTAAAGTGGAGGGGGAAAAATCATTAAGAGCTCCAAGAGACTTCACAGTCACCGGGAGCTAAGCTAACCATGGGAGTTATCTCTGCATGAGAGAAGAAGAAGAAGAGTTGGCTAGCTACATGACCTGTGACCTCCGGGAGACTGTCTGATCATTTGCCGCCCCTCCCAATGAAAAGGCCCCTTGGGCTCAGCCCAGCATCTAAAGCAATCACACCCAGTCACCAAAGCCACTCTGTGTCTACTCTCTTCTGTTCCTCTCTTCTTGGTCAGTGATCAGAAAGACTCCTAAACCAGTGTGTGTGTGTGTGTGTGTGTGTGTGTGTGCGTGCTCGCGCGGCTGCCTGCATGTGTTACAACAGAAACACGGTGCAGCCGAGTGCAGTCTTGCAGTCACAGGCAGACTCTTAGGCACCTGAAATGTCAACCTGTGTGACAGAAAGGCCCTTCATTTGACAGCCATGGAGACACACGGGGGACAGAGAGGAGGGGAGAGGTCACTATTCATAATTGCACAGAATGAAGTTTGGGGGAGTGGGCGGGGGCTGGTTGCATTAGGACAGCCTCTAATTAACCCTTCAACTTTAATAGGTCCTTGCAGGACACATAGGCACCTTTAGATTAGCCAGCAGTTAGCATAAATGAGTGGAAGAGTGTGCACACACTCAGTGTTTACACAGTGTCTGCTGTTTGCAGATGCTTGAGTTTTGCTGCAGTTTTTAAATTGAAATCTCAAAACCTCTTGATGTCAAGTAAACACGAATCGCTGTGGAGTTCTCTGTTTGTTGCATTAGGAACATGGCTGTGGTGGAGATTTGTATTTAGCTCTGAGCTCACAGTCGTGTTAGCACAGTGATGCTTACATTACCCTATAACACTGGAGCCACCGTCCTCCCCTGAATTGAGAGATAAGTGGCTAATTTAAAGGTTTTGTGGCTAATTATTGGCTTAGCTAGTCAGATGTCTGACAACATGTAGGATTTTTAAGGTTTGTAGTTGAACTTAGTTTAAAATGTGCTGGTGTAAATTGAGTTTGAGGAATAATGTTTTATCTTTGTATGGTGGGGTGAACTATAGAGTCAGTCTTTGAAGTACACAGAGTTAGCATTAACGGCTGTGTCTACGATGTGCTCTGCATTTCTGGCTCTTTTGTATGCCTGTGCGTGTGTGTTTGATTTGGTTAAAAGAAAGTCATGCATGAACATGTATATGGAAATAATTGTGTTGGTGTCTCAAAGGGATTAGAATCACACTGATATATAACAGATGCTCTTTTTACCGTCTTGTCCGATCAACTTTTTTTCTGAAGATATCCATACACACAACGTTCTAATTACAGATTTTCTCTCTTGTTCTTTTCCCAGGTACTATTTCAAGAAAGCAAGTGACGAGTTTGAATGTGGTGCCGTGTTTGAGGAGGTTTGGGAAGATGCCACTGTGTTGCCCATGTATGAGGGAAAGGTCCTGGGCAAGGTGGAGAGGATGGACTGATGCCACTTTATTGCCAACCAAACCACACCCTTCCTTACCCAACCAAAAGCTAAACTGTTCCTTAAGAACTCTGGAGAAAGTGACTCTATGTAAAAACACTCTGGACTGTTTTTCTTTTATTGTTGTTTTTATTTTCTAAATATTAAGCTAAACAGAGTTAATATATCCAGCACAAGAGGAGCGATTGAAGGAAGATGAGCCAATGAAGTATCATGATCCCAGAGGAGGTGCCACTCCTCCTGGACTTTCTCCACCAATCAGCCTTACAAACACAAGGGAAAGACACGATGGACTTGTAAAGGCCAACACGAGGAGGAGGAGGATAATGCTTGGAAGACAGCGTGGAGACCCCGCCTCCTCGAGAATTTAACCACTGAAGTCGTCCATGACTGTTCTGTTGATCGAGAGACTCATTAGCGCATTTACAGCGCTGAAGCTGCAGCGCCACCAACCTGCTCTTAAAGCTACACTCCAACATTGTTTGAAAAACGTTTGTACGTGTGCATATACATACATGCTAATATGTATATATACATGTATTATATAGAGAGATGCTGTTGTCATGGTTTTAAAGTTTTTAAGTATTTATTGAAAAACAACCCCCTCCTTCCAACCCCCTCCCCCTATCTCCAGCCAATAGGCAAGCTGCTTTGAATGTTGGGAGAATACTGTGGTGATATTGTTTCAAGTTTGACCTTTTTTTTATCTTTACACTGAGGATGTGGCACTAGCCTAGCACGTCCTATAGCCTTTTAACCCCGTCCGACCCACACCTAAGACCTAAGCAGGGTCTGGTCGGAGGCTCTCCCTCCCCCACTATCCTTACAGGCAATCCCAGTCTTAAATGCTGCTGATAGTTTGTATGTTGACCTGGTCACACTAGTGTTTCCGTTCTCTCAATCTCACCTCATGCCTGCCTTTTTGTCTCAAACTACATCCATACTGATTTTTGTTGAAACTGTGTTTCCACCTGATAATTAGCTACATAGATTACCTTTGAGGGCACAACAGCCTTCAGCCATTCACTCTCACCAAAAGACACCAAACTCTCACAAAACCAACTTTTACAATTGGAACAGTTTTTAATTTCTGTTTTCTGGCAAGTTTCCTTTTCTGTTGTCCATCCATGCCAAAACAGTGTGTTTTGACAAAAAGACAGTGGTGTGGATGTAGTTTGAGTCCAGCTGCAGAGCCCAGTCTATTTGTTGTGCCTTCATTTGTTCATCAGGCATCTCAGCAGTCATTGTGGAGTTGTTGTTAGCCACAGAGGAGACCCTGAGCACAAGTTGAAGCCCCATCTATCAGCCCTGTTACAGAACAACTTGTGCCAACAAAAACAACTTGGGTTGTTGAGCAGAACGGAATTTCATTAGAGTGTCAGAAAAAAAAATCAAAAAAAGGAAAAAAAAAAGAACTGAAGAAGAATTATGGCTCCCAAATCCTTTTGAATGTTGTTACGGTGACATCGTATATAGCAGAGTTCCTGTATACATTGTAATTATGCATTCTGAAGTATGGATACCAACACATGTGATGCACAAGCCGACACTATACACACATCAAACACTTGCTGGTGTTTTATGAGTACAGCACCTGTGCCTACATGGATGCCATACCATGTGCTACCCTGTTTCAGGGTTTAATATATATATCCCTTGATTCTCTGAAGGGTTTTATGTAGAAAAGATATTTTTATGCTTTTAATAATATCCTGTAATCATGTGCTTTTTTTACACCATGGACTCCTTTGGTTTTATTTCATTCTATCTAAACTGTAAATTATACATTATATAAAGAGTTTCATTTAAAGATTTACATGGACCTATAATTATTGTAATTATTGAGAGATGTAGCCTTTATTAAAGTTTTATATTTTTCAAGTGAAGCTGATGTGTCTGGAATCATCTGTTATATCTGCCCATTTTTGTCCACTGACAAACAACTTGTCCCACAGAACTGACAATAACAAAACACATTTAAAAAATATGTATCAATGTATACAAATATCTACAGATGTATATAGAAACATGAAAATTACCATAAAAATTTAAATTATTTTCTCTAAAATGTTCCTACAACTAGGGTGTATTATGCCCTCTAACCTCTGATATCTTCGCACCACATCAGTGGCGAGCCTGGTGAGTGTGCGTCACAAATACCGTCCGTGGGAAACAATAGCGGAACCATAGAGGCACCGAAATAAATGACACGAAGCTTCACTTCAGGAAATCTTCCTAATCATTTTATCTCTATGGAGACTGTTCGATGTAACGCGCATTTTAAAGTTATATTCACAGGTAATTTAGAATTTTTTTAAGTATCCGGAAGAAGAGAAACTTAAACTTCTTATTTTTAATCCGACTTTGGGTCACTGTTCTGGCTCCAAGTGTTTAAACGTTTAATTGATCCCCGCCCATACAAACGGATATTTCTGCCAGTAGGTAATTTCGCAAAATCTGCAACCGAGATTTTGTCCTAAAAGGCAATTTTGGGTCAAATCCGGCTAAAACTTGTGTCATCATTCACTCCTATCTTTTAGGAGACCGTGAATCATCTCTGATTGGAAATGAAGCTTGACGCTTTACCGTGACAGCTTTCTGGTAGGTAGGTTCTCTCCCTCTCTCTTTTTTTCGTGTCTTTTTTTTTTTTTTTTTTTAACTATAAGTCAATGATAATTACATTTTGCCTTAGGGTTATTCCTTTCAGTTATTTTCTCGAACGTATTAAAATGCTTCAGCTGATCATTTAAGAATAAGAAAAAGGGAGTTTATTAGCTGTTAGAACTTAAGCACTGAAATATTTGTTGTTGTTAATTAATCACCGATGTGATCTTCCCATTGCTGCAGTGGCTATCAGCTTTTGTGTGTGTGAGACCTGTGGAATAATACACCCAACTATGGACATCAGGTATGGGAATTTAACATGACGTATCATGATTAGAGGATGGAGTTTTGTTTAGACAATAAAACAATATTATTTAAAAGAACATCTATTAGCAAACTTAACATCACCACAAAATAAACCACAGGAAGTAATTTCCTGTTCTGAGTGAAGGATGGAAGTTGTTGTTAAATCCTCACCACAATCATTCCCGACAGTTACCTGCTGTCTCGCCATCTGCAGGTGTTCCTCAGTAATTAAGAACATAAACTGTTGTTAGCATTGCCACGGTTACGGCAGAGCTGCCTGCGATCACAGTGAGTCACAGGGAAGTCGATCGATGACGCAGCGACTCTAAAATCGAGACCTTGTGTCTGCACACCGCAGAATTCCATCGTTAATTCACAGTCGAAAAAAGAAGTTTGGATTCACTTAGACTGGTTTGTTCCCATTGTAAACACACATCACTGAAAATCCTACCCACCTCGTGATGCATCACAGCCCCTCCCTGCTTAAATGTGCTCCCTCTGTGTTCAACACTTATTAGGAGGCATTAAATATGGACGCTGGGCAGAGGTTAAATGGTTTTATTAAAGAGAAACAAGAAGCAGCGGTGCTCTGTCTCACAGTAAACATGTTAATGAGGCGTCACCTCCTCTTCCTCCTCCCTGTGAGGGACCTGCTGCAGTATTTTCCTCCTTAATTGTCTGCCTTTATTTCTCTAATACAGCGAGGCACAACTGAAACTGTTGTTGTTTCGAAAAGTGACGCTGCTCATTTTCAATGTTTGGTTGATGTGTTGATGTAAAACAGACTAAATCAGAGGAATGATCAGGGGAGCCAGCTAACGTTAAGCCAATGTCATGTGTCATGTTATTGTCAATGTTTGAAACAATGCATTTCACTGGTCTGCTCCTGCCGTCTACTTCTAGGCTAATTCAAGGTTATCTCTTAGATAATCAGTAGCACATTTATGCTAATTCAAAAGTATATTTAAACTGTATAGATTGTTTTCTCATTTAACCTCAAGGCAAATGTTTATGATATTACTAAGGGATACTTTTAATTTAAAAAAATACTTTCAGCTATTTTTAAATATTTAGGTGATTATTGTTCAGTTTTCGCTCCACTTTTTGTCATATCAACTTTTTCAAACCTTCATAGAATTTCACAGGTAACTAACTATATTGCTAACATCTTTTTTTTTTTTACCTTTTTTTAAGTTAAGTTTTGTTTTACATCTGATTTTGATTAATTTCTGTGCTAACTGAAACACGTATTTTCTTTGGCCTTTAGCTCTTCCTCCC